AGTCACTGTACCAGAGGAGCTTACACTCTAATGTCCCCTCCCCCACAGTCACATCAGTCTCTGTACCAGAGGAGCTTACACTCTAATGTCCCCTCCCCCCACAGTCACATCAGTCTCTGTACCAGAGGAGCTTACACTCTAATGTCCCCTCCCCCCCACAGTCCCATCAGTCTCTGCACCAGAGGAGCTTACACTCTAATGTCCCCTCCCCCACAGTCCCATCAGTCTCTGTACAGAGGAGCTTACACTCTAATGTCCCCTCCCCCACAGTCACATCAGTCTCTGTACCAGAGGAGCTTACACTCTAATGTCCCTCCCCCCACAGTCGCATCAGTCACTCAGCTTACACTCTAATGTCCCCTCCCCCACAGTCCCATCAGTCTCTGCACCAGAGGAGCTTCCACTCTGCACCAGATAGGTTGTGCTGCAGGTGCTCTCCCTCTCCAGGCACTAGGGGGCCAGGCCTGCTCGCCTGGCCCCAGAAACATGGCCTCTTCTGGGCTAGGCTCAGACCATGCTCCCCCTGAGGGACCCAGCTTGCCTTCCCATACTTCACCAGCACCTGAAGACCTTGGCTGTGGCCCTAAAAGTGGGGAATCCCTCCCTGTCTTTAGAGAGCGGGTTGCTGATTATCTGGTGAGAATCGCAAAGGAGGAGGAAAAGTTGGTGAGTCTGAAAAAACTACAAGAAAAGAAAGTTCTCCATGACAAGTCCATGGAGCAGCAAGAGGCAGAGCATGAAGCAAGATGAAGGGTTTGGAGGACGTCATGGAGCAGCAAGAGGCAGAGCATGAAGCCGGAGATGAAGGGTCTTGGAGGTCGCCATTAAGAAGCAGCAGAATCTAAGGTAAAGACGCTGAAGGAGAAGAGCGGAGCTTTCAGAGAAAAGTTCCGGAATGAGGAACGGTTCCGGAAGATGAAGGGAGACTCCGGTAAGGATCCAGCATCGGCGGTGGCAGTACGGGTGGAGAGTGAGGAGGGGGTCCTGGATGCTGCCCCTGCTATCCCATCCACCTCAGGATCTGCTTCCCTGGAGGAAATGTCAGCCTCTGCCCCCCTCCCTCCACAGCAAGCTGGAGGAACAGCACAGGAGGTAGAGGAATATGGTGGAGGGCTGCTAAAGTACATTGAGGAATTGGAGTCTTCCCTAATTGGAAGAAGAACTTTCCGTTTTTCTGAGGACTCTGAGGATGAAGATGACGGTGAGGACTCTGTACCTGGTCCTGTAAAGGAGAAAAAAACAGAAAAGCCACGCTTTATTAAAAGTGCCATTTTGGACTCCAGTGTGGACAGCCATGTGCACTGCAGTGTTTTGGAGGGAAATCCTCCTGTGTGTGCACAGAGCTCTGCAGGGAAGATGGCTGCTGTGCCTGCAGGACTGCACTCTGCTGGGACTGAGGACTCTGATACCAGGAACCCTGGGACTGTGGACTCTGCTGGGGGGAAGGTAAAGGGGGGATCTGAGACTATTGCTGGACAACCTCTGCTGATGGCTGCAAATGCAGCAGAAAATGGTGGGAGGGAAATTGTCAGCAGCACTCTGAAAGGGGTTGCTGAAACCCAGGGGAGAGTGACCAGGAGTGGAAGGCTTTTGCCTAAGAGGAGTATGTTGGGGGAGGGGGAGACAGGAGCATCTGGTGTGAGTGGGTCTGCTGGGAGCAGTAGTGCCACGAGTGAAAGGAAACATATGGATGATAAGAGTGCTTGCAATGCTGGAAAGGGGAATGCCTGTGTGTTGGTGGATGGAGTGACTGCTGCTGCCTCTGATGGTGGTCTGCAGAGCGGGGGCTCTGAGGTTCCTGCAACCAATGGGCGGGGTGCAGCTTTAAGGTCCACTACATCTAATGCTGCAAATAAGACCTATGCTGGGGCTCTGGCTGGGAGGAGGGGGGGTCACATCATGTTGTCAGCTCTGGGGGGAGAGGTCTGCTGCAGGTCTGCCATCTGCACCCCTGTCCTTCAGGAGGAGGAATTTGGTGCAGCTCAGATGGGAAGGTGGGGGTGCTCCCCCGGTCAGGATGTCGGTGGTGGACAGGATTTTGGAGATGGGGTTTAGGGCGGATGACATCTTCGCCTTGATCAGCCCTGTAGGATCCTATGAATATGATCTGTCCTTTGTGCGCCCCGAGTCTCTGGATATATTCTGGGAGAGAAGTATGAACACATGTATAAGGGTCTGCCGGAATGGAAGGGACTCGTCCCAAAGGTGGTCTCACGCCAACCTCTAGTGAAGACGGTCACCATTCTAGTACGGAATGAGTCCATTCCTTCGGCTGACTTGGCTGTCTGGCTGAGGAGATTTGGGGAGCTACTTGCACCCCTGAAGAAGATTGTGGATGAGAGAGGGATATGGACTGGTGGGATGGTCGGTGCAGATGAGGTTGTATGTGTGTGGGAATGTGGTCCAGCATCTGCCCTCCTCAGCCTTCATTGGGAAGGACAGGATTGTGGTGTTCTACCCTGGACAGCCCAAGCTCTGCAATAAGTGCGGTTCTCGGGGTCATTTCGCCCTCCTCATGTTCCAGAGATGAAGTGCTCCCTATGTCAGGATTGGGGCATTGGTTCTCGGGGTCACTTCGATGTCCAGAGATGAAGTGGCTCCCCTATGTCAGGATCTGGGACATCTTGGTTCTCGGGGTCACTGGCCTCCTCAAATGTCTCTGAGATGAAAGTGCAGGATCTAATCTGGTTCTCGGGGTCATCGCCTCCTCATGTCCAGAGATGAAGTGCTCCCTATGTCAGGATCTGGGGCACCTGGCTAAGGATTGTAATATCATCAGGTGCAATCTGTGTGATAAGGTTGGCCATTCCTACAACCGGTGCCCTGAGGCCATGCACAACCAGTCAGCTTTGGTGGAAGAGTTTTTTCGTCTGGACATGGAGGAGGCAGAGGAGAGGGAGGCTGTGCCAGGGGTCCCCAATGTCTCTGTCCCTGTGGTCCCAGTGTCTGATGGGTCCCTCTAATGTGTCATCTCCTTGTGTTGTGCCCCCTGAGTCAGTGTCCGTGGATGTTGTGTCTGATCCTCCTGTGTCAGTTTCCCCAGAGGTAGTGGGGGCTGTGGAGGGAACTGGACCAATGTGTATGGTTGCACCGACCCCCCCTCCCCGGCGTCAGAGGGTCAGAGCGCGTGAGGCGCTGGGGGGTGGAGTGAATGATGGTGGGGGGTGTTGGGGTGAAGGTTGGGGGGACTGCTGTGGTGAGTGGAGAGAGTGGGGTGGATGATGTTGTTGGTGATGGTGGAAGGGAAGGGGAGGGGGCTTTGCGGGCCGGTTTATCAAATGATGATATGGAGTGGTTGGAGGCAAAAAGGAAGTCTGGGAAGAAGAAGCGGAAGAAGGATGTGCCTGTACCTGACCCTGGGAGGGGATGGAGGTGTCAAACACATTTGAAGTGTTATCTGAGGTGGAGGATGAGGGATCTTCAGGGGGATGAGTCTCTGGTTTCCATGGAGGAGGAAACACAGAGGACTATGAAGCGTGTAGGGTCTCCAAGTAGGGAGGGGGGTAAGCAGGCTAAGAAACGGGTACCTCGATCATCCTGATGGCGGTTCCCACTCCTTTGAAGGTGGCGACCATTAATGTCGCCAGCATAAAATCAGTAAGCGCTCGTAACATGGCCTTATTTTTGCTCAGCAGGTTTGATGCTGACATTTTCTTTTTGCAGGAGACCAGGTTGTCCAGTTTGGGGGATGTTCATATGGCGAAGAAGGAGTGGAGGCGCGGCCCCTCCTTCTGGTCTCTTGCGGGCCGAGCCTTACACTGGAGTTGAGGGTACTTTTTTCCGGCATGGTAACCTGTCGGCGGATTATTGAGGTAGAAATGGGGAGATGCATGGTCTTAGACGTCTCCATGGGGGGGCAGGACCTGCGCCTGATTAACATCTATGGGCCCCTAGAAAAAATGGGACAGGAAATGCCTCTTCATGAAGATCAAGCCTTTCCTTTTTACAGCCCAGCAAGTTGTCTTCGGTGGTGACTTTAACACCGTCACTAGGACTAAGGACAGGAGAGGGACCGGAGTCAGGCTGGACTGTGACGGCTAGAGAGGCAGGTCTGGTTGATGTGCACATTCATTGCTGCCCAGACGACACGGGATTCACTTTTCAGCGAGGTTCCAGTCAGAGTAGAATAGATAGGTTTTTTTTAAAGGGGAACTCCGCCTTCTCGGCACCAGTGTGTCAGGCGGTAGAGTTTTCCGATCACTGTATTCTGTCTGTGACTCTGAGTGGCCCCGATACACCACCTAAGGGGAGGGGTACCTGGAAGCTGAATTCGGCACTCCTGGACGATGAGAAGGTGAGTCAATCCTTTGAGGATTTTTTTCAGGCACAGGTATCAATCATGGACGTTTGCAGCAGTAAGTCCGAGTGGTGGGAGCTTACAAAACGAAGGATCGTTGGGTTTTTCAAGGCCATAGGAAGGAATAAACAGCTTGATAAGTATGTCACCTACCAGCGTCTGCGGAGGAAGCTCGATCGGCTTGTCTCGAATAATGGAGATCCAGAAGCGATCTCTGAGGTCAAACTCTTTGCTCAGGCAGTGTCAATATGACAGGCATGCCTCTTTGGTTCTGGAAAGGGATTATGGGAAATATCATCACTCGCCCGACCCTTACCAGAACTGCAAACAAGGTAGAGCAGTTAAGTCAGTTGTAGGCCTGGTTGACAGTACGGGTTCCCTGACAAAGTCCAAGTCAGGGATCCTGGAAACCTCCAGGTCATATTATGCTGACCTCCTGGGTAGGAGGGACCTCGATCGGGCGAGCATGTCGGGTTTTCTGGACTCTACTCCAGGACTGGGAAATGGCAGTTCTCTTGTGAGTTTGACAGAGGACATCACGGCAGATGAGGTGGTGAAAGCTATTGATCAGCTTGCCATGAAGAAGTCGCCTGGGCCAGACGGATTGACAGCCGAGTTTTATAAGCACTTTAAGGTCACTCTGGCCCCATATTTGGTGGAGGTGTTTAATGGCTGTCTGAGAGAGGGTTCGCTCTCTCCCTCCATGCGACAATCTGCAGTGATTCTTCTGTCAAAGGGTAAGGATTCCTCGAGAATTGAGAATTGGCGGCCCATTAGCCTTCTCAATGTTGATAGGAAGATATTGGCAAAAATTATTTTCTGGCGTTTATCGTCTGTTGCGGGCAATTTACTTTCTCGCCATCAGCACTGTTCGGTTCAGGGAAGAAGCACTTTTTCAGCGGTGTTAGCTGTCCGGGAGGCCCTGGAGCGGTGCAGGGCTGCAGGCTGGGGAAAGTTCCTGCTGGCATTGGATCAGGCCAAAGCTTTTGATCGAGTCAATCATGAGTACCTATGGCTGCTTCTTGGCAAGTATGGCTTGGAGGGGGGCTTTATCGATTGGCTAAAGACCTTATACAGAGGGGCTGAAAGCTTCATGCTTGTGAATGGTTGGATTGGACGACCCTTTGAGGTTGGCTCAGGTGTGCGTCAGGGATGTCCTTTGAGTCCTCTGCTATATGCGTTTGTAATCGATCCCTTCATTCGGAGGTTAGAGAGCGGACCGTTGTGTGGAGTTCCTTTGGGCATTCCTGGGGAGCCCCCCTCTGAGGGTCGTGGCCTATGCTGATGACGTGTCTGTTTTCATCTCCGGGACGCAGGAGGCGGAGGAGGTGGTCTCGGTGATGGAACAGTATGCTGAGGCAGGAGGCGGTGAGGACGTGGTCTCGGTGATGGAACAGTATGCTGAGGCAGGAGGCGGAGGACGTGGTCTCGGTGAGGGAACAGTATGCTGAGGCAGGAGGCGGAGGTGGTCTCGGTGATGGAACAGTATGCTGAGGCGGGAGGTGGAGGACGTGGTCTCGGTGATGGAACAGTATGCTGAGGCATCTGGCTCAAAGATCAATCAGGATAAGAGTGAGGTTTTCTGGATGGGAGAGGATGGAGAAGGCTTTACCCTTCCGGACGCCTTCCCAGAGCCCCAGCAGGAAATTAAAGTTTTAGGCATCAGATTTGGTCCCGGTGATTACGGCCTTGCAAATTGGGTAAGCAGGCTACAAGATGCCGATGCCAAGGTGGCCAGCTGGAAGGATTGGAAACTCTCTTACAGGGAAAGGATTGACCTGATTAAAACTTACCTGATCCCGGTATTTCTGTATGTCAGCTTTGTCTGTGTTTTGCCAGTGTCTCTCTATGCGAGGATCTACAGTTGTTTCTTCCAGCTGTTATGGGGGCACAAACTGAACCTCATTAAGAGGTCTGTAACCTACCTTCCCAGGCGGATGGGTGGCCTAGGTATGGTCAACCCGGTGGTTTTCTTTTCTCTGATGTTTTTGAAACATAATTTTGGTAGCATGCTGGCAGAGGAACCGCCTGGGTGGGTTGGTATTTTTCAGTCCTGGTTTAGGCCTTTTCTACGGAGCTGGGAGAATGGTGGGCCAGTGAAAAGCCTGAGGGTCCAACATGGTAAGCTCCCGGCTTATGTTGCCCCGTGTCTGAAAATGCTTCGGCAATAGCGAGTGACGGCGGAGGAAATTAAATCTCTTCCTAGGAAGGCCCTGGAGAGGAGGGTTGTTGAATCTGCCTTTAGCGAGCCATTGGCCTTGAGGGATTGCCCAGGCCCGGTTATGAGGGAGGGTCTGCGTTTGATGAATCTGGAGAGAATCCCTTTAAAGTTTCGGGATTTGGCCTGGCTCTCGTTCCATGGCAGACTCTATGTGAAGGGCAACCTGAAGCATCGCTCTGCGGAGAACCGTGGTTGTCCAAGAGTGGAGTGCGGTGGGGTGGAGGAGACGATGGACCATTTCTTGCTTCAGTGCCCCTTCAATATAGAAGTCTACAAGCGGGTGGGTGGGGCTCTGGGGATCCCTTTCCTTTCCCGCTTGAGTTACGCGGAGTGGTCTTACGGAGCCTTTCAGACTCACACGGGATTTTGATTTTGAGACACTTTTTCTAGTTAGCTTAGTAGTCCGTTACTACACGTGGAATGCACGGTGTCAGGTCTCCATTCGCAAAAAAGTCCTTCCTGTCGAGGTGGTGGTGAACAACATTCTGGGTGAGGTTGGGAAGATTCGGGGTCTTGAGAAGGACAGGTGGCGGCCGGGAGCCTGGACAAAGGCGTGGAGGAATGTCAGGTCCCTGTAGCTGCTGTCTGTCAGTCTCTGGGGGCGTGGCTTCTCTTTCTGTCCTCTCACGTCCCCTAGATTTTGTAACATCAGATTTTTGAAGAAAGGCTGCATGCATGCATGGGGATTGATGTATGGGATGAATGTGTGGGATCGATGTGTGGGATCAATGTATGGGGTGAATGTTTAATCGTTTCTTAGCCTGAGGGGGTGTTTAGGTGACGGTCAGGATTTGTTATTTTGCTGAAGTAAGCTGGTTTTGTTTAAAAATACATATTTTTATTCTGTATATATGTAAATATGATTTTTATGATGTTTTTTGTTTGCAAGATTTTAATAAACAAAAAATTTACACTCTAATGTCCCCTCCCCCACAGTCACATCAGTCTCTGTACCAGAGGAGCTTACATTCTAATGTCCCCTCCCCCTACAGTCCCATCAGTCTCTGTACCAGAGGAGCTTACACTCTAATGTCCCCACCCCCACAGTCACATCAGTCTCTGTACCACAGGAGCTTACACTCTAATGTCCCCTCCCCCACAGTCCCATCAGTCTCTGTACCAGAGGAGCTTACACTCTAATGTCCCCCCCCCACAGTCACATCAGTCTCTGTACCAGAGGAGCTTACACTGTAATGTCCCCTCCCCCACAGTCCCATCAGTCTCTGTACCAGAGGAGCTTACACTCTAATGTCCCCACCCCCACAGTCACATCAGTCTCTGTACCACAGGAGCTTACACTGTAATGTCCCCTCCCCCCACAGTCCCATCAGTCTCTGTACCAGAGGAGCTTACACTCTAATGTCCCCTCCCCCACAGTCACATCAGTCTCTGTACCAGAGGAGCTTACACTGTAATGTCCCCTCCCCCACAGTCCCATCAGTCTCTGTACCAGAGGAGCTTACACTCTAATGTCCCCACCCCCACAGTCACATCAGTCTCTGTACCACAGGAGCTTACACTGTAATGTCCCCTCCCCCACAGTCACATCAGTCTCTGTACCAGAGGAGCTTACACTCTAATGTCCCCTCCCCCACAGTCACATCAGTCTCTGTACCAGAGGAGCTTACACTCTAATGTCCCCTCCCCCACAGTCCCATCAGTCTCTGTACCAGAGGAGCTTACACTCTAATGTCCCCTCCCCACAGTCACATCAGTCTCTGTACCAGAGGAGCTTACATTCTAATGTCCCCTCCCCCACAGTCCCATCAGTCTCTGTACCAGAGGAGCTTACACTCTAATGTCCCCTCCCCCACAGTCCCATCAGTCTCTGTACCAGAGGAGCTTACACTCTAATGTCCCCTCCCCCCACAGTCACATCAGTCTCTGTACCACAGGAGCTTACACTCTAATGTCCCCTCCCCCACAGTCACATCAGTCTCTGTACCAGAGGAGCATACACTCTAATGTCCCCTCCCCCGCAGTCACATCAGTCTCTGTACCAGAGGAGCTTACACTCTAATGTCCCCTCCCCCACAGTCCCATCAGTCTCTGCACCAGAGGAGCTTACACTGTAATGTCCCCTCCCCCACAGTCCCATCAGTCTCTGTACAGAGGAGCTTACACTCTAATGTCACCTCCCCCCCCCCGCAGTCCCATCAGTCTCTGTACCAGAGGAGCTTACATTCTAATGTCCCCCCCACCCCCCACAGTCGCATCAGTCACTGTACCAGAGGAGCTTACACTCTAATGTCCCCTCCCCCACAGTCCCATCAGTCTCTGTACCAGAGGAGCTTACACTCTAATGTCCCCTCCCCCGCAGTCTCACACACTCCTATTTGAGATTCTCTCATCTCTCTTCACTAAAATCCCTTTCGCTGTTTTTCTCTTTTTTCCCCCCTAAATAATTGATGATCCTTTGATATGCAGGTATATCCGACTCCCTACGAGGCAATACTGATCCGGATCAAAGACTCTCAGGGACATGCTTGTCATCTCCATTCCGTAGATGACTCCTACAGGTCCTGCTGGGACTGAGGACAGGCAAAGGTCTCACTTGATCAGACACCCTCTCATCTTCTGCCGATGACAAGACTCTGACCTGGAAGTCACACATTTTACGGAGAGCCAAAAGTCCTTGGAAATGGCACATAAAAGGAATCCATCTAAAGACGCCTTTTATCCCAGACAATGATGGCAAAACAACCATAGATGGAAATGAATGCTGTCTCCGGCCTCTCGAGGCACAATGGTCTACTAAAGGCCAATAGGCTATTCACTTTGCAAAGGGAATTTTCCCTTAGGTGAACGAGGCTCCGCCAGCTTCCACCATCCAAACACGTTCAAGCAGAGATACTGTTGTTTTTTACACATGGCGTGTGATTGGGTACAAAAAAATAGTTTTTTCCACCAAACTCTTACCACAAGGTTGGAAGACCACAATTGTCTACGTCTTTGTATTATGGAGTAATGACAGAACTCTTCACTGGAGACACCTAAACTCCAATATTTGGGGGAGGGGGGTTATAAACTTTTGGTATTCAAATGATGGAGTTCAGATGTCTCCAGTGAAGGGTCCCGGTAATGCTCCATCGTACAAAGACATTGCAGACAATTGTGTTCCTCCATCCTTGTGGTAACAGTTTAGGGAAAACCCTTTTCTGTTCCAACTTGACGGTCCCCCCCATGTTCAAAGCGAGCTCCATAAAGACATGGTTGGACCAGTTTGGTGTGGAGAAACTCGAGTGTCCTGTCCACAGCCCTGACCTCAACCCTACTGGACACCTTTGGGATGAATTGGAACTCCGATTGTGCTCTTCTGACCTTGTGGTAACAGTTTGGTGAAGACCCTTTTCTGTTCTAACATGACTGTCCCCATGTGGACAAAGCCAGCTCCTTAAAAACATGGTTGGACCTGTTTGGTGTGGAGAAACTCGAGTGTCCTGTCCACAGCCCTGACCTCAACCCTACTGGACACCTTTGGGATGAATTGGAACTCCGATTGTGCTCTTCTGACCTTGTGGTAACAGTTTGGTGAAGACCCTTTTCTGTTCTAACATGACTGTCCCCTGTGTACAAAGCCAGCTCCATAAAGACGTGGTTTGACAAGTTTGGTGTGGAGGAACTTGAGTGTCCTGTCCAGAGCCCTGACCTCAACCCTACTGAACACCTTTGGGATGAATTGGAACTCTGATTGTGCTCTTCTGACCTTGTGGTAACAGTTTGGTGAAGACCCTTTTGTGTTCCAACATGGCGGTCCCCCCGTGTGCAAATCCAGCTCCTTAAAGACATGGTTGGACCAGTTTGGTGCGGAGAAACTCGAGTGTCCTGTCCAGAGCCCTGACCTCAACCCTACTGGACACCTTTGAGATGAATTAGAACTCTGATTGTGCTCTTCTAACCTTGTGGTAACAGTTTGGTGAAGACCCTTTTCTGTTCCAACATGACTGTCCCCCCTGTGTTCAAAGCCAGCTCCATAAAGACATGGTTTGACCAGTTTGGTGTGGAGTCCTGTCCAGAGCCCAGACCTCAACCCTACTGGACACCTTTGGGATGAATTGGAAATC